ATAACTCAATCCTGTATATACCTGAGTACTCACATGCATATGCATAACTTTACTGATACCGATCGTACTGGTCCTGCCCGGCACCGCGTGCTGCGCAGCTATCTTATGTTCGTTACTCTCTTTTAGTTATTTTATTTTTAATTTCATTTTTTGTACTCCTTAAATATTACCAAAAGATAGAATTCATAAATAACAAAAGGATATATGTAGATTTTAGTAGGGTTTATAATTTCAAGCCAAGACATCAAATTGCAGCACAGTATCATCTCTGATATTTTATCACCACATTAATACCGATATTGTTACCCGTTTTAAAATTAAAAATGTTTTTGATGGCCTTTAAGTCCTGACTAGAGATGTACATCTCTAGTCCTGACTCTAATATTTGGTACCATTTAATGAGAATGTCTTAAACAAATAAAACAGCCAGTATCATTTATTTAAACACAGAATTATCAGCCATTCGCGATTTATAGAATGATATGAAATATGATCAAATTATTGGTTATACCGCTCTAATAAATCGATAATCAATAAATTAACAAATTAGAAGCAGGTTTCTGACTAAATTACGCCAATATAATATATCAGATATGAGGTTGTTAAATTACCATAATTTTTCGTAATTTATGTAATTTTGCAGTATATTTCTAAAAATCAATTTAATGCACATAATGTATGGATCCTGTGATTAAATTTTTAGCGATTTGAGGAGTTAAATTTTAGATTATATATTCAAATCGAATGATAAAATAATGTTGACCAAGCTTTTGTAAAGCCGGTACTTTATATAACATGGTAAAAATTATATGAAATTTGGTTTGCTAAAATTTACGTAAAATATATATATTGTAAGATTGTAACTTTTTTTAGCATAATTCTAATGGTATAGGTGAGCATATCCATATTGTACAGGCCAATTTTTAAAATCAATATCATTCTGATCATTGGACCTAACTGCCGCACTAATTTTTTCACGGCAGATGCTTGGTTTTGATTGGCTAAGAGCGACAATAAAAATTTAGTCCGAAGAATTTGCTGATGAAATCACAGTCACCCATTAAGTGAAAATGATCCTGGCTAATTTTACCATCTGCGAGCTCATTTCATAAAAATTTCTATTTTTGGAATGAAAAGTTAATAGTATATTCCGGCCAAAAATTATATAAACAATTATGTTATGCGGCCAAAATTTTGATTTTGATTGACTAACAACCATGATCTTCAAGAATCTGCCGTGACAAAATTGGTGCGGCAGCTAGGTCCAATTGACAGATCCGGTGTTATATATATTAGCATTAAGGTTAGGAACTATTGCTAATCAGTATAGTATAGTTTTTAAAATTGGTATACCATATCGATATTGATTTAATATGATTGTAGATCTACCCGTGATTTCTTGTGATAATTAACCAATCAAATTACACAATTTTAAAATAATTTATCGTTCTACTGTAATACTACATGAAAACGAAAAGAATTCATATAAAACAAAACCTACAAACTCAAATACACACAAAGAATTTATCACATATATTTGGAGAATAGATAAATACGCGTAAGTTGGGTAAATTTGATATTTATTACTCATAGACCTTAATTTATTAATCTACAAGACAACTAAACTCCAATTTGCGGTTGACAAACCCAAGTACACTACAAAAACGACCAGTTTTAAACATTAAATTGCTGCTAAAAGGCCTAAACTTATACAAATTAAACGTTATTTTTATTTATACCCAACGTAGTAAAATAATTTTGGACGAAAAATTTCCATTTACTTCACTCTACAATGTAATTTCACGCGGTCCAATTAGCGTTGTGTATATTTTGTCTTTTAAGCAAAATAAGTCAGATTGTGTATCCTTTTGTATAGTGAAAATAACGTTCGCTTAAAACTAAGAATGATTTTATAACGACTTTTATTAGTGAAACGGAGTCAATTTAATCATTGTTTGTAACCATGGTTTGCAATAATATTTCAATGTTTATCGTATAGGCTATATATATTACTTACTAGGCTGATACTAATAGGCACTTACGTACATACGTACGTACGTACAATTTAGAATATATTGTTTACTAGTTAATTGCTTGTATAATCATTATAAATATAAATAAATATACGCATAGGTGTAATCTTATTTTATATTAAATCAAAATGGAAAATAAAGGCTTGACGGAAAAACAATTAGTAAAAAATGTTACACAGGTCACCGATGCTTTTAATCAACTGGATATTATTAATTGTCGAGAGTTAGCCAATAAGAATGATCCAGATGGCATATTCTGGCTTGGTTACTGTTACGAACAGGCATTCATTATTTATCAAAAATCAGCAGAGATGATTAATCCTAGCGGAGTGTAACAAGTTAGTTATTGTTATTATTTAGGAATTGGAGTTGAAGTCGATAAATATAAAGCATTTGAATATTATTTGTAATTCCATGGGAATTTGGAAAACTGCTATTTTTTCATGGGTTGAAATTGGCGTGGAAAAGAATGATGATAAGTTTTATGTATGGATTAGTATGTAAGCTAATTTCTAATTATTATTATTTTAAAAATTGAGAATATTGTCATACATTTTTTAACTATTCAACTTTAATTATCAAAGGGTAAGTATAAAAAGCAAACTCATTTACAATTCGCTAATAAGTTCATAATATTAATTAGGACTTAATTAGACATCGCAACCTGCGATGTGCTTATATATCACATTTTAGATGATTGACCAATCAAATTTCAAGA